ACATAAAGTGAGCGTCACCGGTGCCCCACCACTGCCGCAGGGCAGCAGAGCTGCTTGCTGGCTGGTTGTGTCGATTCATCTGGGGTCGCGCCGGGAGGATGGCGTGCGCAGTGTGCTTGCGTGGGGTTGGGAGCAAGCGTAAGCTCCTCGCCTGTCGCTGCCGAGCAAGCCTGGGCTTTTGAAGACTGTGAATTGTTGGTGGCTTGTGTTGAGCAGCACCAGTGGGTAGCTTTGACCTAGATTGGAGCTTTCCATGTGGCTTTGAAAACCTGGGATGCTCATAGCTGGGATGCATGAAGCCAAAACACTGTCGGCTGGATGAACGCTTTAGGTTTACTTAGGAAAGGTATTTTGTTTTTTTTTTTACTTTGGCAGGAACATACGGGAAAACACTTCAAGCCTGGGGTGACAGTGCCTGCCAGGGCCGGCATCATGCCTGGACTAAGCCCTGGGGTGGAGGGAGATGCTGGGAGCAGATGATCCTTCAGTGCCCTGCATCGCGGGAAGCTGTGCCTGCCCGGTGGCATCTCCTCCCCCTCGAGGCCTGGTTAGCCCCACAACCAACGCTGCTGTGCCTCCCTCGCGCGGGGGTGTCGGGGCAGTGAGGCTGAGCAATCAGCCTGACGCCGTGTGTCGGAGGCGGAGTGGCATGGAGGGTATTTCCAGTGACGTGGATTGGACAGATGGTGCCCTTCTCCAGCCCGGAGTGACACGTGCCCTCCTGATCAGCAGGCTCCATCCTTGTAATTTCCTTTTCACGCGGATCCTGGCTGGGCTTTTGTGCCGCTCTCCCTGTGCGCAGCACGGCAGCGCTGCGTTCCGCGCCTGCCCTAAATAACCATCGTCCTCCCTGTGCATCAGCTCTCTGCTGCGCCGGGGGGATGAGCTGCCTTGAAAATCGAGGGGCTTCCAGCAAGGCTGCGTGGGGCTTTGGCAGGAACCCCCTCCCTGGGCAGTGGATTGCCTTCCTCTGGGATTTCTGGGTCTAACAAATGGCAGAGTCCTGTGGGCAGCGGGGATGGAACAAAGCAGTGATGTGGCATCCAGGACCGTTTTGGAGGTTGAAGAGACAAGCAGTAGGTGACGAGGAGATGGGCATCTTTAGGGGCGGCATGCTGACCTGCTGCCTTTCCTCGGCTGCCAGTACTCTCTGACCTGCGTGGTGGTGATAAAAGCCTGCATTTAGAATTAATGCTGGGGAATGCTTTCCTCACAGGCTTCAGAAAGGGGCGAAAAATTTCTGCAAATGAAAGTCCTGCCAGAATGGAGGCAAAAAAGGCTGAATAGATGCAGGGCAAGTTGTGACAGAGGTGCATTTTCCTGTGCAGGGCTGCAGAGGCTCACTGGCATTTCCCGTCCTGCTTGCCCTAGGAGGGGGCTTTCATAGGGTTGCAGTGTGGTTTGGGTTGGAAGGGACCTTCAAAGAACATCCAGTCCAACCCCCCTGCCATGGCCTGGGACATCTCTCACTAGATCAGGTTGCTGAAAGCCTCATCCAACCTGGCCTTGGACACTTCCAGGAATAGGGTATCCACAGCTTCCCTGGACAACCTGTTCCAGTGTCTCACCACCCTCATGGTACAACATTTCTTCTCAGTGTCCAACCTAAACCCAGCCTCATTCAGTTTAAACTTGTTGTCTTGTGCTGGGGACCCCGGAGCTGGACGCAGTGCTCCAGGGGGTGTCAGGAGAGCAGAGCAGAGGGGGAGCATCCCCTCTCTTGTCCTGCTGGCCATGCTGCTGGTGGTGCAGCCTGGGAGACACTTGGCTTTCTGGGCTGCAAGCCCACATTGCCAGCGCATGTCCCATTTGTCACCCACCAATATCCCCCAGTCCTTCTCTGCAGGGCCACTCTCAGCGCTGTTTCCTTTAACCCCTTCCTGCAGGTGGCCATCCTGTTGGGTGTGTGACGAGGTGACATGGAGCTGCAGGCAGGACACGGGGTCCTGCCAGAGCTGCTCTGCACACAGAGCCCCTTGGGCCATCTGCCCCCGGCTTGGGCTGTGGTGCCAGCCCTGCACAGCCCCTGTGCTGGGGGGTCAGCTTCCGGGCAGGGCGATGTGACAGGCTGTGTGCTGTCAGATGCAGGGATGAGCCAGTCTGTCCATGGCAGGTGCTGGGGATGGGTTGGGTGGTGGACTGCTACCCAAGGAAAAGCATCGTGGCTCAGAGCTGGAAGGAGCACAGAAAAGGAGTAGTAGAGCAGGAGCAGGAGGTCAACTGGAATAACAGCTTGATTTCCTCTGAGAAATCTGCCTGAAATGCAGCCCACCATCCAGCAGCCTAATGGTCGCACTGAGCTAATGAAGACAACCCACAGCTGAAATCCCGTGTGCGGAGACCGCTGGCTGTGGGCACTGTCACGGATATCCTTGTCACAGCAGGGAGAGGGTGGGCAGGGCGGTGGGAAGGAGGATGCTGTGACCTGGCGGCACGTGTGTCCGAGGCCATGTTTGCGTTGGTGGCTGCATCTTCCATCACTCGCGACGTGTGTCCCCAGGATCTGTTGGCAGTATGTATTTCGCAGGTCCCTGGGGTGGGATGGGGTGTGGGTGGGACTTTGTGACCGCTCACGCTGTTTGGGATAATGCCAGAACAAGGCGGGCAGAAACTGTGCCTGGTTGTGTGTGCTGGCAAAGTGTCCCTCAGTCTGTGCAGGGGTTAAGGGTGTCAGAACTGCCCATCTGATGGGCTCTGGGCACCACCTGCCTTGGTGGAAGGCTTAAAATCAAGGATGGCACAAACCGAGCGGGATTTCTAGTGGCATGTGAATGGAAATGCAGACATGGGTGATAGCTATATCCACATAACACACATCCATCCATGCAGACATCCTTCCTGGCTTTAGCAGATGATGTTTTTTAACCTCCTTGATGCTGAGTCCTGCTCACATGCTGCGGGTAGTGGGGAAGTGCCTCTGGGAGCGATGGAGCAGGTGTAGGCATCGTTCTGGGTGCGTTTAAGGACCCCAGATGGGCCTGTGCTTACAGCCAGCAGTGGCTGTGCCGGCGAAGCAGGGCTCGATCGCGGGCTGAATGAGTGATACGGTCGGCAGCGGAGCTGGAACTTGAGGCTGACAGCCTTTATTTTGCTAAGGTGGGTTTGAGCGAGGCCAGAGCAGCCGTGGCAGGGCACGTGGGGAATGGGAGGGCACAGGTCCCTCCAGCCTGGCTGTCTAGTGGCATCAGGGTGCAGGAGGGGTGTAACAGAGCCCATGGCCAAATCCTGCCCCTGGCCCCGGGGCTGCGTGAGTGTTGTTGGATGTAGCCTTGCGTCCAGCTCTGTGCTAAGCCTGAGTTGTGCTCCAGCCCTCGGTGCGGGGCTGGGACCGCTGGTGGGGAGTGGGAGAGGCTGTTGTGGATCTGGTGCAAGAGCGAGCCGCC